TCACGAGCAAGAGCGAGTACACATGTGTACGAACGGTCGACTGAAAAAAGGCGGAATAATAATCAATACAGAAAAAGGGATAATGCATATCCATTGAACTCTACGAGCGTGCAGAGAAGGGTGAAGTTTAACGGACAAATTGGCGGAGGATCTGCACGCCGAATGAATCAAAGCTTGACCATCGTGAATCGATACGGAGAATATCGCCTGTGACTATATTCATCGTCGCGTTTCACCAAAGCCTGTCTGTATCCGATTATAGCCGGGCGGGCTCGTAATCAACGAGTTTCCTCCTGTGGACACTCGATAATAGCCAATAAGAACGCCAATGGGAGAGATCAAGATCTGAAGAGGAGGAGAGAGTAGAGAGGTGAAAAGAAGAAAGAAAGGGAGAAAGAAAGGGACGTGCCGCGTTGGAGTTGCGCTTGTGATAGAGTAGAATCGAAGGAAGTCGAGAGGGACCCTCGTGGAATTGATCGAGCGAAGGAAGAAGCCGGTGCAAGAGGAGTCGCGCCCACGTAGAAAGGAGAGAAGAAAGCCTCCGCTCACGGCCATTCATTCCGTTGGCTACCTAAGAAGACGTAAGCCGCGCAAGAATTAGGCAGAAAAAGGTGGAGCACGCTCCTCGAACGGACCGGAGAGTGTTTGGTGTTTATACCTGGCCTCCTTGGAAAACCGGCCTCCCTCCAACAGAGATGCTTACAAACAGGCGGTTGTCAGATTTCTTTTATCTTTCCCGGGGCATCTGTATGGCCGATGCCCCCGGCGCGGCAGCTACTACTTCTTTTGCGTTTTTCTCCTCTTTCTTATCCTGAAGACCAGCCGCGCCGGCCAACCACCCTACCCGCTATCGATGCGAGAAAACTGGAATTGCGTGCCTTCTTCTCGCAGCGGTGACTTTTCTTCCAGCTTCCTTGAGAGAAACTTTGCGCGGTAATTATTCACGAGGAATGTTCGTCGGAGGATGATCAAGATCTTTTCTTGCAGAATCTTGCCTCTTGTTTCCTAAAAGTAATTCTCTTTCTCTCTGTTGCAGTTTTTATAGAATCTTTCGACTACATAGATACTGCTATTTATAGCCATTTTAATGTCCTGCACAGTAACAGGAGGAAAGAGGCAGCGTTTTATTTTACAGTAAGAGAAACTATCTCATCAAGTTAGAAAGTTACAGCTGTGTGAATAGAAGTTTTCATTCAAAAAGAAACGCGCAGGAGATAAAGTGCACAAAAAAAAATTGACTAGAAGAGGAACCGCAATAGTTCGATCGATCATCTTCAGTTTCTTTCGAAAAAAAAGTCAATTTCGACGACATTCGAAACGGACACGCGGAGAACGGAGAGTATCCCCGGAACGGTTCTCGACAACTCCGAACGATTAAGGAATCCCACCGCAAGCAACGTGTCGGCTCGACAAGCCTCCACCGTCCGAAGAATCGGCTGGCGATCGTCGACGAGCGTGAACCAAACCGTAGGAGAAGTGCATCGAGTCCCGGCGATCAGAGATCGTAGCTCGTGTCCGAACTGGCGAGGGAACGAACGAGGCAGGAACAACGGGGGGAGCTGGTATGGCTTCCGAATCGGTGGGCTTCTTGCCTTACCGGCTCCCGACGATGTGTTCGAACCTACATTTCTGATGACCAACTAAATCGCCGGCCGCAAATCGCCGCTAGAGCGTTAAGTTCTCTTCTCTCTGTCTCTTTCTCTCTCTCTCTCTCTCTCTCTCTCTCTCTCTCTCTCTCTCTCATCTCTATTTGTGTATTTGTATGTTTGTGTGCATGTGTATCTCTCTCTCTCTCTCTCTCTCTCTCTCTCTGTCATAAACACTGCCTCTGTCTCTCTTTCGATGCGAGTGCAACGTCAAGCGTTCACAGCTGCACTTAACGCTGATCAGGAATAACGATCGCGAGGCTGTTACACGAGACCCGGCAAAATGGCCGGTATAATTGAGAGCTCTCTGGCTCGGTAGCAGGGAGCAGCCGCCCAGGGGTAGCTGGATGTTGGCGGCTCTGTTTGCCGCAACGTCTAGTTAGGCACTTCCACTCAGACACTATCGAAGAGTATTGCTGTTGTTGTTACGGAACGGATATACACACGCCGGTGTTGGGAAGTTTGAAGTAACCGAGGCTCTCGATTAATGGTCTTCTTTTCACCTTGGTAAATTTCGTTTCTCTGCGATTTGTTAAGCTTGACGATGATTGATTTGACGTTACATACTGACGGTGCGTTGACAGACGTTTACAGGCAGGCAAGTAAGACAGTGGTTCAGAACGGACATTTGTAGACGGATATTTTTCTATATTTTGGATACACGCGCGGCTTGTTAAGATGGCAATACTACATTTCTACGGACTCCTGCGATATTCAATTACTCAGCACAGCTAACAAGATTTTTGCACTTGTTTGAAGTGTTGTTATTCAACCATCTAAATTCTGTCTTTACTTGTTTCCACGATTGTGATATTCAACGATACTACAGGTAGAAATGGATGATTCAGATGATCGGATCGCATTCGCTTCAACAATTTTAATCCTTCCGCGCTTGTAACAAAAACACCATATTATCGCTTAAAAACTAATTTAGAAAGGAAAAAGTAAAACTAACGAGTACAGTGCTTCGCTGCAAAACATTCCAGAGAATACTCGATAATTTTATTCAAATACGACTGCAAGTGACCGGAAATTTCTTCGTTGAAAATAACCGAGCATGTCGAGCGGAATGTAGGTTACGAAGAATTCAAGGTTCCGACGTTCCAAGTGAAAGTTCGGACGAGGTAATCTATAGAATAGAATTCTAATTGTAGTTCAGACCTTGCATGCGTCAGCGGCTCGAATTGCGGGCTCACGAACTCGGATCTCAAGGAGCAATTCAGTTGCGTGTACGGTGAAAAGCGAAAGCTGTAGAGCGGCCGCTGGCTCTAGCCGTGAATATCCTCGCCGGGACCAGCACTTAGGAGGGAACGTAACCTCGAGAGTTCCATTTACAAATATCCGGATTTGGGGATTTGCCTCTCGGTTAAGACAGGTATCACCATGCCGGGCTCCATTTATCTTAATCTACAATTAAGAGCTACGTTTAAAAAGACAGGAGAGCTCACAAATTTACCAAGAAACTTATACTGATACATTCTCTCTCTCTCTCTCTCTCTCTCTCTCTCTCTCTCTCTCTCTCTCTCTCTCTCTGCAGGAACTTTCGTTGAAAACCCAATTATCACTATTCCAAACATTCCAATTTTATTTCACGTTACTCCGGAGAAGTCACGTTCGCTCGACCACTCGATCACTATCCTTATCTTTAATTAACCGCGATCTGCCTCGTCGATCATCGATTCGACCCGCGAGAAGTCCATTATACCCGATCCTCCCATTCACGCCGTCAGCATCCGATTCGGTGTATCGCAGGTACCGAACGAAAAGAATCTTCGACGCAGGTATACCGATTCATCGGAATCTGGTAAGCGGATTTTCGCTGTTAATAACGAAGGCTGAACGAGCACCGAAGCGAGGCTGGTGTCATTGTTGCGACTGGCTCGCGTCACCCTTAATAGGCATAACTCTCGAAGGATTCCTTTTCGAGGGCTGAACGAAGGATCGGAGGAAACCGAGTGGATGTTAATGGCTTCCGGAGGATCGGCTTTTTTTCGTCGCTGGTTCTTCTCGACGAAGCGGGCCGCGGACCGAGTAAATACGTTTGGAAACGTTTGCCGGTTTTTCGGACGCGAAAACACAGAGAGAGAGAGAGAGAGAAAGAGAGCCAGGGTGAATCGTGGCCGACGCCTCGGACACGGCCACGTTCCAACTATGTAAAGCCTCGCAACGCTTACATTCAGCCACGCTTCAAACCCGCTGGAAAACGCGGCCGCTGTGTTTTAATCCCGCTGTTTTTCTTCCCCTCTTTTTTTTTCTTCCTTTTTTTTTAAGCGCTGTTTTATTTAGAGCGCGGCTTTAAACGGCTCGCAAACCGGCGCAAACATTTCGCTAACGGTTTCACTTTTACGCCGCCGCGCGCCCCGAAATGATCTCGGCTCTCTCTCTCTCTCTCTCTCGGGTGAAACGCCACCGATCCTACGCGGATGCTTCCGGGTTAATCGAACCTCGCGCAGACCGCCCTTTAATCCCAAATCCCTCAACTTTTTTCTCCCCGTTCTGCTGGATAAATGTCTTCAGAAATGTTTTGCGGATAAAGGATACGAGATTCGAGGGTTTTTTTCGTGCGGGCTTTGGCAGGATGAATTAATGGCTGGAACTTTGGAAATCGCTTCGCAGAGTGGTGCTAGAAAATGGACCTTTAAATGGTCTCTTTATTGTTGCATTTGATATCTCGTTCGAGTGGCGTCACATCGGTACGGTGATGTTAATCGTGATATTTTGATGTTTGTCGATTATGAATGACAACATGATGGAAACTTTTCTTTGCGTGTATCAAATCTTCTTTTGAGAAGGATCAGATCAATCTCAGAAATCAGAATCTTTGTAGAAGCCACGAGAAACGTCGTGTGAAATTTAAAGAACCAATAAATAAATAAGAAAAAAATGGAGTAAAGATTAGAAAATAATATATATAACATACTTAAACGAATTCAGGAATGAAACTAGGAGCAAGAATTATTTCTAATTCTAAAACGATGTAACGATTATTTTTAATTCTAAAACCATCATATCACGAAAATTGAACGTTCATATACGTACGTATATATCACCTTGCTATTTCCTTGCAACGCAAACTCGTAGAATTAAATTATCTGTACCTCCATTTGAGGAGTGATCCTCAACATAGACCTGTATGTCAGATAACGAAATTGAGACATTTACAAAAAAATGAGATTAATCAGTTACACTACCAAGAAACACATAAACTATCAACACGTCCTCCAAGAAATTAAAATACCGTGAAGTAACAAATAAAACACATACAAATGTTTGTGACAAATTCTCAAAGCACTCTCCATTTAAATTCCAGCCACACCGATCTCAAAACAACGTCATCGAATCTTGCATTTTCAGATTGGGCCTGATGTCGTCGTTGATAGCGGGCCGATATCCGGTCGGGATCGGCGTCGGCGGTGTGTTCTTTCCGTCGACGTTGCAGCACCTTCACCAGCAACAGCAACATCAGCATCACTCGCGGCTGGCGGCCGCGTCGTCGGCGTTGAGCAACGCGGTTCAAGTCACCGGCCAATCGGACATCGTCGATGCCGACGGCATCCGCGGTGTGCTACCCGGTGGCGCCGGTTGGCCGTTTCCATGGAGGCCGACGCACGGCCTGCAGACGCTTGAACATCCGTCGCCGAGCGACGTCGTCGGTACCCTGAGCCGTGTTAGTCCCGCTTCCGCCACCTTTCCCCAAAGGGGTGAGTTGTCAACAGTTACATTATCAGAAATGGTCAAACATCTGGGACTATTAGGGATTGGGGAAAGATTAGTCTTTATTTTAAAGTAACTGCTGGTCGTTGTATCTTTCCACAAAGGAGTGAGTTGCCAATGTCGGAGTTGTACTACTAGCCAAAAATTTGGAGTTATTGCAGATACACATGTTCTTAAGAATTCGAAAAGATTAATTTGAAGTAACTGTTACCTGAAATTTTTTTACAAAAGGGTTGAGTTGCCAAGACCAAACACTAATTATAGTACTAATAAAAGAATTGAAATTGTTGCATAAGAATTTAGAACCACCAATTCTTAGTTTGCTTGAGAATTATCACTTTAATTTAATATTTATTAAAACTGAAGAGATTTCTACTAGGTAAAGTGTAGGAATCCAACAATTTTTTAAATACAATGGAGTTTCAAGTTCTCAATTCTTTAATAAGTTCTTGCTCTCAATATAAAGCTGCCATATTATTTTAGTTTTTTTTAAGAAAGAAGAGTTTCCTGTAAGGTGTATTCTATTAGTCTTCAAAGATTATTCTACTCTACTTTCCTGTTATACTCCTCATCAAAGAAGATGTCAAGAATCGCTGCATTTCTCGATTATTGTTTTAAATCTTAAATACTAATTTAAAAATCAAAATTTAACTCTTATTATGGAATATACAAAATTCTTTATATTCCAAGTTTTTAATAAGTCTCCAATGATACTTCAAGTCTCTCTCTCTCTCTCTCTCTCTCTCTCTCTCTCTCTCTCTCTTTCTCTCTTTTTACCGCTGATACTTGTGAACCGGATTGTATCTTAATAATTGATCAACCATCCTCTTCGATTATAACGGCGGATTACCTGAATATTTTATGAATTTTGAATAAATGAACGATATTTTAGGATATCTTGCAGAGGAACGAGTATTTTGGAATCTCTTGGAGCATTAAGAAGTAAGTTAGGTAATTTTTAATTTAGAAGCTAGAGGATGGTTCTTGAAGTTTATCAAACAACTTAAGATATCTTCCTTAGTATCTTCGGATCATGAATGATAGACATAATTTATAAGAACTTAAATTAACTTCGACGAACTATTTCAATTTATGTTTTTACCCTCCGTTCCTGAATTTAAATCAGCGTAACAAAATCACAGGCACGGTCTTTCATATCGTCGAAGCATTCATAAATAAATGGCACAGTAAATGGTTCGATTAGGAGCAATTTGACCTGAAAGCTACTCGCATTGGATAACCATTCTGCATATATTCTACGTGTATGATTATGCGTGGAATCGTGTCGAGTTGTTGGATCATAAATTTAGGCTACTCATGCGTAATAGAGGCTTGTAAACATTCTCGCGGGGAGCAACTCGTTGAGTGAAAATCGTGCGCTTGTTCCAACAGTTCGGTTCGATTTTCCATCTATAAATAGACCGCGTTCAATGAACGTGGACATCGACGATACATCTATCGTTGCACATCAATCCCAAAATCACGGAGAGAGAACATGATCGATTGATTGACATAATTTCTTCCAAACGCTCTATTTGTAATTCGACAAAACCCAATTATCATCATCGTTAGAGGAGACAATCCCTTTTTTTTCGCTTGTGATCGAAATATCCAAAATGGAAAACTTGTTGCTGTTCTTGACAACGAAACGCGTCTTTAGTCGAGTTCTTTCCGTTTGTGATTAAATTTAAGAACGCAAAAATATACATAAAATATCCATAATACGGTATTTGCTGTTACTCTTAATTTTCAGCTGAATTTACAGAAAAACAATCTCTTCCCGTCGTTTGAGGATTTTCACGCGTTTATGCAAAATACATAAAATATCCAAATCATTATTTTCAATAAACGAAACACTTTCTTCAGTTTACAATAACCTTCTCCCCAAATAAAAACTAAAAATTACACGTTATTAATCATAACGAGTAAAACAGACCTTCAGGCGAGTACGTTACAAAATATGTACGTTATAAATATACGCATAAAAAATTCGCAATCCACTTATGACAGGAAAAATGAAATGGAATTTGTCGCACGTACCATTAATAATCGTTCGAAAACAGAAGACGAAAAAGTGACGAACCGTTTGATCGGTAGAAAAAATAAATAGGGTATCTCTTTTTATGAGAGAAAAATTGATTGGAGGTGAAATACACCTGGGAATTCGCGGGTATGGTGAAAGGAACTGAGAGCGAGAGAAATAAAGAGAAAAGGGCAAGGCGAGGGCTCGTACGCTTTCTACGTAAGTGTATAAACGCGAGCGTGGACGGCGCGACGAGTACGGCTTCCACGGCTTCCACCACGACAAACCAACGTCGATCGCCTTACTCCCGCCGATCGTTTTACTCCTGCCACTTCGCCAAAATACTTGGCAGCCTGCTAGATGACCTGCCGTTCGCGCGTACTTCGAGTAAAACATCTCGTTATTATGATTCGCCTCTTCGCATCCCTTAATCGTTATCCCAGAGAACGTGTGTCTATCCGAATCTGTAACGCGTTGCAGATATCTTTCATTCCGTTTTGAACGCCTTGGAAGAACAAGCTCTAATTTGACATTGATAAGATGCGAATTTTCTTCGCGTGATAAGTAGAATCATTCAAAAAATATCCCCAAGATATGCAAAGTATATCTTGAGGAAGGAAGAAAGAAAATCTCGGAGAGAAAAGAAGAACGGTAGTATATATAAAATTTATTGAACGTAAATTCCCTAGAAAAAGCGCGAAACATCGTGATGTTTTTCACGCGAAGATCGTGCAGAAGCATGCGGAAGGTATGCAAAACGTTGAGCGCGAGCTGATAAAACGGAGGCACGGAAACGCCAGGTGTTTAAAATGGATTTACGAGATCGCGGTGAGTCGAGTTTTCCGCGAACGGTGGCAAAGAACCGATGCAGAAATGACAAATATTTCATTAGAGCGATGAAACACGGCTCCGGCCGATATCTGAGGCAATTATATTAAAATGGATAAATAGAATATTAATTAGCGGACTATCAATCGACTAAATATTAAATGCAACGGGCCGACCGAGATGAATAGCCCCGATTGATTTATCGAATTCACCGGCGAAAGACAATTTATAGATACATACTCACATCCCGGTTCGGCTCGATTGATCGACAATACCGAAAGAGATATCCCTCGCCGATTCTATTTCAACGATCGGCGACGAAAACGCTTTGAAGGACCAGTTAATTAATGCGTTTAACATATGCCAAACCCGTTATCCCAACATTCAACGACCGCCCGAATAAATAGGCCGATTTGCGAAATCATGCCAGCGTGGATTCGTCACTCGCCATCGCGCTAGCAATACGTATCGCGTTCCATAATTATATCCAAATTGGTGCCGAGTGAAACGAAGATTGAACTGCAAACATCGTTTCCTTCTCCAACGCGTTGATCCCATCGTTATTGCCAGACAATTGTCTCGCAATCGTGAAATTAAATCAAAATCGAATTCAGGAACATGAGAACACTTGCCATCTCGTTCGACTCGATTTATTCCCTGGATTTCCATTGTTTGAAACTGAAGGGACTTGAACTTGAATTTTTGCAAGGCAATTTTTGTTCTTTATGGTAATCGGTAGATTGCGAATGTCTGTGAAAATACATGAAAATATATCTGTTTCACTCTTGAATTAATACAACATACAGTTTCTTTACTTTGGATATTTTATATATTTTTCTTTTCTTTTTTATTTTATTTTTTTTTTTTTTTTTTTTGTGTGCTTCATATGGAAAAACCCCAATTTGCAAATATAAGTACTCTCGGAAAGGAACATTCATGGTTAAAATTATTCAAATCATAAAATTCTTATTCAATTTTGGTTCAATTCTTATTCAATATAGAGCGCACCGTGGATTGGATACGCTTGCTGTAGCTTGTCCGCCATTAACTTCTCGCTTTGAACGGGTCGAGCTTTACGACTCGTTTCTTCGCTACCATCTTTATCCTTCTCTCGAATCTCTCTCCGTCCGACAGGAGATTCAAATTTATCGCCACGGATATTTACGAGGCGTCGTTTTCGACATCCGTGTTAACTGTTTCTGAGTTCTAATGGACAGTATGATACCAAAGAAGAAGAAAAGTGTGAAATATTCTTTGGAAAGATTGAGCTCATCTTTCCGAGGCTAATCGTTTCGACAAACTTACGGATATTTCGAAATTGCTTGTGATACTGTTGGATAATTATGTTTCACGACGACTGGCGCCAGCTTCTTCATCACGTGGACCTATTATTCGACGTATAGGAAATTATGCGAGTCGTACAAACACAAAAACATCTTCAGCGGTAGATTCTTCTTTTCGCGATATTTATATCTGACGGAATGGATCGCTGGACAAAGATCTCTGTGATTCGTCGTACATATTCAGGTAAATTGCCACCGGCCGGTGACGCAATATGCAAAACATCGTCTTCGACTAAGTATGCAGTGCCATCGGATCGTCCGCTTAATTATACTCATCCTCGTGCATCATTACGTATCATTTCATAAATCAATCGTTCTATCGACGAATCTTCTTGAAGTTCGCGCGAACCTTGATCGACACAGGTTCATGCCTGGTTCACATGCCTTCCGTCCGTGAACACGTCACGAACGACTTACGTGTGTCGGTCTCGCGATCGGCGAACGATTTGCAAAAAAAAACTAATTTATCTAATTGTCTCGTGACTCTGCAGAATCTATCCGAGTGAAACGAATTCGCACGATAGAGCGCGCGGGTTCGTTAAATCACAACAATGAAAACGTTTGCGCAATAATCGTTTTCGCAGCGAGACGATTGAAAAACAACTTAACAACTGCGTTATCGCATCTTCGTCGAGAATCATCGGACTCTTTAATGATTGTGTTTATTGGCTTCTACAGGTCGTTAACGGCGCGTCTAGCTATTCGCGTATGAAATACACCGGTGTTTCATATTGCTGATAAAACTCGTGAGTACCATCTTGGATGATGGACTATGCGCGATCAATCGATCACGACGATCAATGACAACGACGATCATTTGGTTCACATGCCGACGTAATGGCTCGCGAACGTGCGCGTAAGTTCAGAGAAACGTCGCGTAACGCGTGCAACGCCACGGCACTTACACACGCGAGTGTTTCACGGGCGTGCGGTCGCGGATCGCATGAATGGCGTGAGACAATGCTTTTCCGCCATGACCTACTGACACACAAATAAAGAAATAACTCGATATTCATAGATTCGCACGTTCATTCTCATCTGAGGAACAGATGATGCTTCCGGCGCGAGAAGTTGCATAACGCGACTTTTGCCGAAAGTTCGTCGCGACTCTCCATAAAGATCGTTGAGAAACGAGAAAAGCAGAAAAGAGCCATCGATCGTGATTTCACGGCGCCGTCGTTAATATAGTTTATGAAGTAGTTTCGAAACTTCTGAGTCTGAGTCTGTCTGTGAGAAACATCGGAATTCGACGTATTCGAACTTGCTGGAATATAAAATGTACCGCTATACTTTCACTCGTTTCCACCGAGGATTATTTCTTTTTTTTTTCTTTTTTTTTATTTCTCCTACGGGATTTCTGAAAAGATTAATTCAGGCCTCTTCGCGAGAAAGCGCGAGGAATTTTATCTGGCGAGGCAAATGAGTTGTTTGAATCTTCAACACGATCGCTACGATCGATGACTCGGCGAGTATAAGAAGCGTACCAGCTTTAGATCTCGGTAGAAAAAGCAGTTCCTGAAACTCTTCTTGCGTACGACTCGTCGATTAGAAAACCACGATCGAATGCTACCGCGTGTTACGGTCTTGTGAGTACACTGGGATAAAGTACTTTCAATGCACCGGATATCCGAGATGGTTTTGCATAGCTCTCTTTCTCCAAAAGCGTTTCAATACTAGTAAACTATCCTTTGTGAATTATATCTACGTGTAAATTATATAAATAGAATTCATATACATAATTCGTACAATTCCCTATTATAATTTGTTGACACCAGGAGGCATTTGACACTCGACTATGGTCGACACTGTTTACTCATAACTTACGGCCAAACAACAGAAACGACCGTCGACAAAACCATGGCTTTTCACTTTGGCCTCGTTCGCGCCACGTTTCGTCGTGCTATCCTACAGTTGCGGGATTTGAATTTAAAGTCATTGTCGCTTCGCGACTGGTATTGACGAAACCTTCGGTACCGCCGTCCTTCGATCATTTCAACGTGCCTGCAGCAATTACATCTCTCGGCGACATCGATCAATCAGTGAAATTCGCGAATAACAATGAATCCAGAAGCGTGCACTTGCAACGCGAAGCACTGGGATTACATTCGCGCCGAGTGTTTCGACACACGAGAAATATTGCGAATTCAACGTGCTTTCGTAGCTCGTAAAATCCGCTCTAACCCTGACACACATTCAAGCACGATAATTTCCGAATACCGTGTGTCCATCGTCGATCGACCCCTATGTCGTTATTGTCGACACGATCGCGCCGCTACGACGTTCCATTCCGCGCTATCTAATTTCTAAGTAAGCAGAATGCCAGCTATCGAAAGCGCTGTTCACGACGGGCGCGTTTCTTCATCATCATAATCGCTGACACTGCCAAAAAGGAAACGCATTTCGTTTCGTTTCTGTACGTACGCTGTGTTTTCCACCGAAACGAGTAACATTCTACGCTCCATTCGCAAAACGCTGCATCATCGGAATTATCAATCGTGGATTAACGTCGACACGAATCTTTGAACCTTTTGCACACGAGTTAAAGAGCGAGATTACGTTGGTATATGAGACGTAAAATAAGAGTGCTGGTAAAAGAGGAACACACATGCATGTGTCTACTCGTAAATCCGCGTGGATAAATCTATCGAACAGTGAGAATACAACAAGTCATTAACAATATATGTTAATACGATTATTACTTGATTATCTCTTGCCGATTATATAAGATAATAATAAGCTTAATTCCATCAGAGTGTATTTTCCTTCTTTTTTTTTTCACAGATGGCGAGGCTCCGTTTACAAGCTAATCTGGCGGGAACTGTTGGCCTATCTGTTCGTCTACTACCTCATCAATTTTACATATCGATACGGGCTGAACGAGCAGCAGCGGGTGTGAGTACATGAATACGTTCATTTGAATATCTTTCCGCGGTGAAATTTCCTTGGCGAGCCGAAGGTTGACGCCTCAACCGGTCGCGAATAACATCGCGGCGATAACGCAGGCGTATCTCCTTGAAATTAAGACGCAGCGTTAAAATCAAGGAACGAAATCTCTCTCTCTCTCTCTCTCTGTTTCCTTCGTAAAAAAGTCTACCGTAAAGTTTTTTTTACAAACGGTAACGACATCTTCGAAAGTGGAATGAAAATAATTCGACACGGAGTGTTTTTATCTGAAGAAAAACCGGAGTACGCGACACGCGTGTGTCAACAGCAAACTTTGCATCGTGAAACCAACGCAAAACCGACCTTGGTCGTGCGACGAAGCCTACCACGCAACGATTCAGACTACATTTCGCCGATTAAAATCGAAAAAAGTTTCGTCACAGCCCCATTTTATCGATATTAACACCTGCGCTGGCGCCTTCAGTTAACACGTCTCATCTTTCATTTCCTTTTTATTATCGCATAGACGATAATTTCTCATTCGTAGATTCTCTCTTGAACAACGCATTACAATGACAACAATAAATGCGGGATAAAGAGAAGCGGTTGTTAATCACAGGAATAAATGTAAATTTCGATCAATTTAAAGAGACGTTATTTACGTAGAATCGTTATCGCGTAGAAGTGATTATGCATCTAAACGTGATAGACGCAGAGTTTATGCATCTTCAAACTTCTACGATCATCACTGTAGAAGTAGAACCTAAACAAAATTTGTTTCATCTACTATATATTATAATATACTTACTCTACCACGTTATATATAGATACGTTATATATAGATGTTATATATTTTTGTATGTTATACGCATTGCGCGTATATTTCTGCTCCCAATTTTTCATAAATGCATAAAATCCGCATCGTGGTCGTAATGACTCGCTGTGAAAAATGTCAGAAAACGCACCCATAAAGGAAGACGTTTATCGTTTCTGTTACAGATATACGTGCATTGAGCGTAGTTAAATCGCGGTATCGTAAATAAAATTGGTTTTTCCTATGAGGCACGCGTTCTCTACCATGTGTCGCGGAATGCGCCGAGGACTCGTTTGGGCCCCGTATTAAAAAACGCATAAAAACGTAACCTGTTATTTACACTGGGATAAAAGGGACGAGCGAAGAAGAGACACGATGAACGGGGCTGGATGTTAAAACGGGCCCTCCTTTGAGCCGCTTCGATTCGCATGGTCTAAATTTAGAATCGTCGGGCCGGTTCGTAGATAGTTTAGGGCCCAACCGACCCAACAATGGCAGCAAGAACCCGCCAAATCGAAATGAAGATTTATACGTGTATTTCGAAAGATTCGCGGCGATAAATTCTCACGTTTTTTCAATGGAATTTTTAACAATCGAATTTTTCACTCCTGACTGCGTGTTTCAATTTGTCCAAGCATTCGACATTCGAGTCCGGAAAAAAAAAAAAAAAGAAAAAAGAAATCTAAAAATGACTTTTCATAAGCACTTCTAAACGTCTCATTTTTTAGTTTTCCGTAGCTTCGCAATACATCTTCATTCTATTATCTAGGAGCAAATAGAACTTGGGATCAAGTGATAACCAAAGCAACGAGCGAAATCTAAAAGTGCGTTAACCCCTTGCAATGCTCTAATTGCAATCTAAACTCTTCGAATCTACGACACTCATGCAGAAACAGGACACAGATTCGGACTTACAGGCATCGAACACGAGAAAAGAGAATAGTAACATCGAACTTCTTTGATTACGTCATGTGTTTGAAACAGTACGAACCGCTAACAAATTTTCGCGGACAGTCGTGAAATCTTGATGGAAATTCCCATTTAGCAAAAATTACCGGTGCATGAGACCGGTAGTGGTATCTCGTTGAGTGACGGTATCACCTCAACCTTGCTCCACTTGCAGGCGAGGCGACATAAGAATTCCACCAAGCACGCTACTGAACAAATATTTAACCGTACACGCGCATAATTTGCGAACATTCGATTCGTCTCGCGATACGCGTTTCGTTAATTGTTTGAACAGGTTGTACAGTTTCCGACGAAACTGTTCGCTCAAAAGGAAAGAATACACGCGGAAGATGAGGCGTGAACAATGGTTTGCGTTCAATAAGGATCCGTCACTTTTCTCTGTTGCAGAATCTTTGAAAAGATCAGATACTATTTTGGGAACTCTAGCGACTCAATACCAATGTCGTTTGTGCTGGGATTCTACGTGAGTCTGGTCGTGAAGCGATGGTGGGAACAATATAAGTTACTACCCTGGCCGGACAACTTGGCTCTCTTTATCAGCGCAGCCATTCCTGGTAACGTAAGTATAGAGATGACAGAAACGTTTCGATGAATTCACGTTTTCGAGTTGAGTCGCGAAACAACAGGTAATACTGACGGAAGACGGAATTCCCGATAGTTCAAGTCCGACGGGGGGGAGGGGGAGGCGATAAACATCTCACGGATAACAGCACGGTCGCTGCGTTTGTCTCATTACGCTAATGAATTGCCGTGACACGTTTCGGTGTCGTCAACCCAAGTAGGTGCCAGTTCTTGGAGTCACGCCACGCCCTGAAGTGAAAAAAATGCGAGGAGCGATCATTCTATAATTGGCAAGCGAGCGAATCTTCTTTGTTTTTCTTGCGTTGGCCTAACGGACAGCCAGGGATGATAGACGCGGTTCCTCGAGATTTGCGCGACCTTTCGCGCGAGATTCCAACTTCCGACACGCGATACGCATTGCACTTCCCTGCAGAAAAAATTGTCGCTCCTCTGATCATTTCATCTACACCGATAACGAAAGTTTATTTCTCTATGAATAAACGGTATTTACGTACTTTCGATCGTTCTAAAATGCTTAATTCTTCAGAGGTTTCTAACTGTCGCTATTAAACGCCTCTTGTTTAAAAACTGAGACAATGTCGAGACTTTGAAAGCTGGAAGCGATTAGTCCGACAAAGTCGAAGACGATCTTCGAATTTGTCGACGATCGTCCAGCTGCGTGGTCAATGACACAACGTCGAAGTGAAAGTGCGACGCACATATCGTAGTGTAAGAAAGAAGAACGAACCTACGCGTTGTCCACACCTCGTGTACAAGAGAGTTGCGCTCGTCCTCGTTACTCTCCGCAAAGATCTTACTATCCAGCTGGAAACGCATACCATACTGCAAAGAAGAGGCTAGAAGTTTCCCGTGGCTGTATTAATAGAACGAGTGAAACCAAACGATTTAATAACTTCCTTGTGCAACGATATTCTCTTTTGTACTCCCGTTCAATCTCTCCTGGAGAACATTCATACTTTGTTACATTGAAGTTTCCAACCTCGACGACGAAGCAATTACCTGTGTAAGCTCTGTGTAATCGTGGTTTGATCAACGTAACATGTATCGCAGCTCGCGATTTTCGCGTCACACATGATTACACACGGAGAGTTGGAGAGTGAGCAGTGGCAACTGCATAGAACTGCAGTTGAATTTCTGTAGGCAGTCAACGAACAAGGTCTCGAGGTGCGGAACGGGACTATAGTTTTCCACGTACGTAGAAGACAGCCGCGTATCTGTAGTCACGTAACGCAAAGTATCAGATTTGTGAATGAGCAGCGTCGGGTGGGTAGCACGAGCTTCTGGACTGTGCCTTTCATTGAAATCTAATTGGAATTCAGGCCCCGAGGCGAGAAGGATGGCTCGACTCCCACCTTCTCCCCCGTGAAGGAGGATCCTTTTCAAGCTGCCAAGTCGTGCATTTTTACACGCGCGACGTTAAGTCGCGGCATTCCGAGGAAGAAGAAACGTCTACCTTTTGAAACCAGGGGAGAGAAAAGGATCCGATTGTTCGTTACAGAAACACGAACCGCCACCAAGTCGGCGAGACCCTTGGCGAGAGCTACCTACGATCTTGTACATCTTCCATTCCCGCTTATACGCGTAGAGATACAGATTGCAGCTGATTATTGAAAGCGAAAAGAAAAAAAGAAAGAGCTCGTTTAGAATTTAGAAATCGAGTTAACCTTTGAAACGGATTGTTGAATGAGTTTCAAATGCCTAGAGTGATTGACAGTGTAGCTTCGGGCAAAAAATACCAGACACCCGTAACAAAGATGAAACTAATTAATCTATAACTGTAACTCGAAAGAAAAAAAAAAAGGGGGGAGACTCCCGTGTAACCTCATTCTTTCGCATTTCCGAATAGACGGCGAGAGAAGCCTTTGAAAACGAGAACAACGAAAAAAAGAAATGAATTTTTTAATCGCAAGACAAACCTGTCTGCAGTTAACGTGCCGGTCATTCATATTTCGTAATTAGCATAAAGCTCGAGAAAGCGTAATTCAATCGCCGACAAGTGCAAACGAACGGATGCGTTGAAATGTTCGCGGAACATGCCACGTACGAGTTTAATTAATCAGGAATAAATCGCGTTTCCTGGGACTTTCAATAGATGGGATGGCTCGGTTCGCGGCCAACAACTTTCTTCCTTCAGATATCGCGATACGAGATCGTTCTGAATCAACGCGTGGCCTCCTGTCCACGTGTTATTAGCCGGTCGAAAAATTTTAGAATCGACAAACTTTCTTCTCCCTCTTGCATGCATTATACCGAGCGAACGAGACGTGCCTCGATCCACAAAACGCTTCGTCTGAATCTCGCCGTGTTCCACATACGTAACGATACGACCGATCGATCAGCCGTTCAATTAACGATTACCGACACGATTACCAGCCACGCGATTGCCAACGGTGATTGTGGTTAGCAAGCGAGAGCAACCGATCGTTCTTCCACCGGCGCTGTTTCGTTTCATGAAAACGCATTTACAAGCAGACGGATTTTACCGTGCGTGGAAATTTCTCGATCTAGGAACCGTTGGCTGCGGTTTCCGAGTAAATTGACATTCCAGCAAGCGTGCGTGATCGTTTACCGCGATGGCCGTTGATTACAAAACGATAGCGACCGATTACAAAATGCGCGCCCGTCTTCGGTCAGAAGCGAAAGGAAAGAATAGAGACGGTAGGCGCCACCGGATGGGTTTTTCTCCGATTAATATTGGAATCGGCACGAAACCAGCGGCAATTCGCGATCACCGGCCAAGAGAACGAGGGGAAAGTGTGTACAAGACACGGGAAACGTGTCCGGCATTCGTGCGGCTTCGGAAACGAATTTTTGAAACGAACACGTACCGATGATATCGATTTCCTTCAATTCTTCCTGCTAATTTGCTTAATCTGCGCCTTAAAATATTTCATTGTAATGGACATGAAATACCGTTCGATGGCCTTGGTAGACATAGTGACGCAAAAAAACCCTGTCTATTCTATTACTTTAGCAGCTTTGGTGAATTTGTACTTAATAAGAAACAGTAACTACGCATTTTAAATTTCAAAAACAACATATTGAACAACACTTGAAGAATTACATGCTACGTTTCTGCGACCATTAACAAAGAGATTATCGTCGAAGTATGCGTTCATGAATATTTGGAGTTTCGTGCGTCGTAAACGTTACACGATCGAAGGTAGTGCTCGCGGTAATAATTTTAAAATATTTTCACATTGCAGGACGAGAGAGGCAGACTGATGAGGAGGAACATCGTAAGATATGCAGTGCTTGCGTACGTCATTACGCTTCAGAGGATTTCATTGCGCGTTAAGAGACGATTTCCGACACTTCAGCACATCGTAGACGTTGGTCAGTGAGTTAGTCGTTTATATTACTTGAACCGCTTTATTTTCTTTTATCCAACCAGAGGAAAAAAAACGCTCTCGTTTCAATGCACGCTGTTTACGAAACCAAACGTAATATGCGTATATCCATTTTCTATTGCAGTACGTAAAAAGTTAATATGTAATAGCTTGACCGATATCTACAACTTGTGTTCAAGCTTGACTTTCAAAAATATTTATTGCATTATATTGTTACCTACTATACATTTTACAGTCACGTACTGAAACATTACGTAAGAATTGTTTCTGAATCGTTGATCCTCTCTGTTATTTATCGTTAAGAGTTAATAAAAATAATTGCACGTTAAATAAATACGAGCTCGAAAATTTTACCGAGATCGATGACTGATAATTTTCGATTAACCAAACGGATTGATCAATAATAATACGGTTGAAGGACGAAGAGTTCAGTGCGAAATGTAATTCGGTTGCTTCCATGTCGATTATTGCTCCCTCAAGGACGCAAAGCCAATTAACAAACATGCCTGTTCCACACATTAAACATCTGTTATGGTAACAAGGACGATTTAACGACAAATATACGCGAATCCATTCCAAAATGAGAGAGCCGTCAAGATTTTTGGCATTCCCCGAGGAATTACAAGTAGTTCCTAATAAGTGATTTGTATGCACCGATTGTATGATAAGCGACGTTGTACTTGCACGGTGGGACTGTTATTTATGTAATCGAAATTGAGCCATGTGTCACGCACAATCTTCGAACGATTGCCTGACCATCTGTAACTGTGTATCTCTGATAGGAACGTTATCTATACACATGTTTCGGTTAACACACTTTGCATTTCGACATTTTCTTTCCTTTCTTGCTTGAAAAAAACCCTGAAGAAATGCGCAAATCGCATTTACAATCAGTCCTTGTCAATAAAAAGAGAGAAAGTAAAACGTGGAACATTGGAGGAGCGGTTCGAAAACTCTGATAGCCATGCAACATGAATCGACGAATTAAACAACTTACCGTTATTGTTGATCGCGTCCGCCATTTTCTGCTTTCCTCTTGTCAAGATGTCAATTCCAGAGACAAATGGTTACGTTGAGCACATTTCGTCTGGATCACGTTTGCTGTCCACTGAAACAACGTTTAGACATTTCCTTCTATTATCAACATTTCTGTAACTCAAAAAAATTGAAAAAACAATTTGTTGTCTGAAGTATTGTGTATGTCAAACTGAGTAGACTACCTCATGGATAGACCCAAAGAATGCAGTAGAACATCTTTCGTAGTAATACGTGACATTACTCGCAAGTATCGTAAATTGTGTTTGAAGTAGCTACTACTCGGAATATTATCGTTTTAAGATGAGCATTATTTCACAGAAATGTCAAATGCATTAAGAAACATGTCACGCGTTACAAAACACTACACTGTCTTCCTACTTGTTTACATGCGATTTGATTCCAATTACTAATCAACTAATAAACCACGAGTTATCAGTTATCACATACTCTTTGAATACACACCTGGAGAGAACAAATCGCAGAAGATGCAGGTATATTCCTTTTTGTATATTCCTATTGTACGAACGAGGAAACATCGTGACGAAATGCAAAACAATTCACACAGCGGCAGCTCACTCCGTCAGTCAATTCGCCATATTTGTTTAATACCGGTAAAAGAAGCGCGCGCAGCTGAAGCTCAGATTGTTATGGCGCTATTTTCAAAATCTATATATGACACGTCAAACTTGATTGTAACATTTAAATTTGAATCTAGATTTGAATATCTGAATTTGAATGGAAAGTATAACTTGAAATGCATAACCTAAATGTTACTGTTGCTATATACATAGAACGTTCTCAGAGATTGAAAAAAAAATCGCGTCCAACAATTTCCACAATTATGCTTACGGTATCTTCAAGTAATAAGAAAGAAGTTGTTTCTCAGGATGCAAAAGAAAGACTTGAATCGTCGTGGTTTTTATTAGTCGGCGGCGGCGAGGATGTGCATGTCGACTAGAAATAGCACGCATTTTTCAGGCACTGGTTCCGCGAATCTTCCATGAACATGAGCGTGCCATCGGCTCCTCGCGGCCAGAGAAATAAGTGACGAGTACGACAGCAAGAAACGATCCTTCCTTGGAACTATCTCCGCGGACACGTGAACATGTTAGCATCACGCACATCAGTGTCGCGAAAGAAACGTGCCGACGCTTGGTCGGTGCCATGGCAAAAGAAGCTCGCAAAGACGATCCAAATCCGTTCTGCGGCAACACTGGAAACCAGCTTGTCTCGCTAACAAAACGTTGCAGATCATCGCGTGAGATCTCCATTAATAATTCATGCAACGAGAATACAACGCATTCCCCGAGCTTTAAGAAAAAAGAAGGAATAATATTTCAAGTGGCTGCGAACATTGCTTCAAATGCAAGACGTTGAACGCGCTGACTAGTAACCCCCCAGACGTAATTGTGATTTTAGGATGATTTTACGTCCTTTCGAAAGATGACAGCGACATTTATGGTCGCGTAAATGAAACATGGTACCTAGCCATGATCTTGAAACAGGAGGAAGTTGAAGGTTGATCGAGCCGTTCGATCATTCACTGACTATGCTGTTTCTCATTAGTTTGTTATTATATTATTGTTACAGTTCTAATTCTGCCAAAGAAACAGCACGTTCTGAAATTCTTTTTTAAATTTTTATCTATAGGTAAGTGTAAATAATACACTAACTAAAAGTAAATAGTAACATGGAGTGCTAAGGAGGTCATTTTTAAACAGCTACTTACGCGTAAAATAGTAAATATTACACTTGTTTGTGCTATTTATAACATTTGGTCGTGCTCTTTACGGAAACAAATCGAAAAAAAAATCGACTACGTTCCTTGGCAATTGCAATGAGTATGCCGTACGTAACAGTACGAAAGCGTGCGCATAGCAGATTTTAGAGCGCTTAAATTGCAAACGATCCTATTTACTAGTCGGATCGCAACGTAACCGTTATAGTCGTTCACTTTTACAGTAGTTTGCGAAAAACACACACAAATCACTGCTAACACGGAATAGATGCTGAGTGATCCTTATAAGTCATTTGTTTAGATTACGATTAAAATATTGTTTTTAAAAATTGCTGACGAATGTAAGCATCCAGGTAGGCATAAGCAATTATTAAAGAGAAAAATATCGCGAAAAATATCGTTGTCGCTCGGTCAGCATCGGCCTAGCGACAGGCACGAGGAAGAGAAAGAGAAAGAAAGAAAAAGACGGTATTAAAGTTAACAGGGCGTTTCAACCAATTCCACGAGGATCGCGATCTGGAAATTACGATGCTACCCACCGGCACGAAAAAATCTCAAGAGCTGGTGTAAATCGAACGACCGGACTCGCGCCGCTAGGCAATTTTCACGTGCGTCCGGGTAATTTTCAAGAAGCGAGCTGAGATCGCTTAGAAACGCGGAGCGCCGGCGCCAGTTCCTCATCCTTTTCCTTTTCCTTCATGGCGAGATGCTCGTTTTGCTCGCGGTACGTGCCGACCGGACCAGCGTCATGTAGTTTACCATCTATTCCCGGAGTCCAGTCGAGCCGACGTTACAACAGGCTCCTTCTAACTACCTGCTTCGTCGTTGTCGTTTTTTCTTTCCTCCATGCGCCGATCTCTCTCTCCTTCCTCTTCGTGCACGTATAAAAAATAACCCTCCAATAATTACAGTTCATCTCGAACGTCGATACTGTGTCATTTGATAAGATAATCACCGACTGTCTTTGGCTTCCTTGACAGGTCTCTGTCGACCGCCTGTCTCACGAGTCTTCGTTCTCCTGACGATTTCTTGGACGAACGTTGCGACCTCCCATCGCTGCCACTGATTTTCACCGTTCACCGTGGCGCCTCTCGAGTTCTCCGACGCGTTCCTCAACACGTTCTCGAACCTTCTTCGATTTATCGTACGTCATTAGTCACCGACACACTAGTTCCCTAGATACCTGCTTATAACCTATTAATTTCATCTCTCAACGACCTAGCTTTTCCTACAATCATCGTACCAGTTTTGATTGCCGTTTTATCGAAATTACTCGGTTTATATCCACATAGCACGCTATTAACGGAGATGTACCTGCGTATGTGTCAAACGTCTTATGATACACGTACAATCCCAAGATCTACACAGGGGCTATTGGTTCCAACCGGGCGATTGGATACATATGCAGACAACGTTAAATATAGCTAAACATAACGAGTGCCTTAATCTATCTCCGGCTGCAGGTGGTAATTGGCTAGAGTAGCGGGTATATGGAGATAGACGCGGCTTTAGTTCGCGAGAGTTGCAGTGGTGACGCGCGAGCGAGCCATCATCATCATTATCTCGAAGAAGATCGGCGTCGTCATCATCGTGGCCATCCGTATCGGCCGGAGCAAGAAACTCGAAAACCCGTTTCCTCTTCTTCTTGGCCGCTTCTTCTTCGTCGCTCCACACTGTCTCCGTAACGATTCATGGCCCTCGGTTGCATCCATCGTCTTCTCGGTCGACCGTAATACGCCGCACGCGCTACCTATATTTAGCACGAATTATTGTTCCGACGAGAGTTTCTCTCCGCTGTTATGTCGACCGATTGGCGCCCGTTCGATGCGCAAGAAAATAATTACGCGGCTGGAGAGCGTGTGCGCAGATGGATCTGCGAGCCAGATTACGATCGCGGGATTTGAGAGGTGGCGATGGACGTGGAAAAATCCAAGAACACAATGCTGCGAATCCTTTCGATGGGAACGGAAGTTCGGAGATTTGCGCGGCGAATTCAACGTTCTCATTGATTTAGCACGCGTTTAGCGAGGCTAATTAAAACTGATCGTTGCTTGTCTTTGGAATCGTGGATCAAAAGAAGCGGATCAAAAGACTCGATGTCGAAACGATGGACACGCTGTTCTAAAATTAACGGAACGCACAAGCTTCTGCCTTTGTTTCCTTGACCTCTCCACGAACAGTTAGAACGTACACGTTCTCGAACGTAAGTC